AGCATATTGATCTAATTTCTATTTTCACTATCATTTGCCTTGCCATGCATTCTCGGGCCCCTGAAGCACTCACCCTTCCTTGATGCTGGGCAAGTATTGTTGCAGTGAGCTACTCACCGGCCCCATCTCTGAGTTTTTAGCCTTCTCCTAGTCTCTTCACTCCATCCCATTAGCAAGTCCTTCAACATCTCACCTGCTACCACCTTCTGGGAGACACTGGACCCAGGTCAGGGATGGGAGTCCGGTTGAGTAGCTGTGAACACTCTGCAGCTCTTCATGTCTGTCCCCATAGGAGGCCATGTGCCAGTTCCCAACTCTGTCTCTAACACACTCACCTCACCTGACTCTCCACATCCCACTAACCCTGACTCTTTGGTCTCTTCACTGGCCTTAAGATGAAATCACCTCCGAAGAGACTTTCTGCAGACTGGCCTCATTTGACACCATGCTCTTCCTTATTCTGCATGTGTCTGTCTGGGCGGCTGACCTGGAGTTCCTCAAAATGCCCCCTGCTTCTCTCTGCCTTGTCTAGGCCTTTACAGGGCTCTTTACATTCCCTCTCCTTGGAATGCTCTTCTTCCACTCATTGCAAGGTGAAGCACTGTCCTCCTGTCATTCAGATACAATCCCTCATAGAGCCCTTTCCTGAGCCTGGCCAGCATCAGTCCTGGTAAGACTGTATAAGCAGGTGATCTTCAGAACTTTATTATAATCCAAGTCAGAATTTTCTGGAATGTTTGTTTAATTTGAAATTCCCGAGAGGCAGAAACCAGGCCTATCTTCCTTACTGGGCACCTGGTGACTGAAGGAACACCTGACTGTTAGTAGGTGCTCAGGAGACATTTGGTAGGTTCACTCGCTCACATATCCACACTTACCTGTCTGTCTAGCTCTTCATCCTTTAGGATGGCCCCGAGGTCTCCTCCTTGAGGTATCATTGACCAGGCTTTTATTTCTTTTCTTTCCTTTTGTTTTAGAGATAGGATCTTAGTCTGTATCCAAGGATATCCTGAAATTCACTTTGTAGTATAGGCTAGCTTTCAAACACAGTGATCTTCCTGTCTCAGCCTTCTAAATACTGGGGATATAGGCATGAGCTACTACCCCAAGTTTTGTTTTTGATTTTTGGTGTTTTGAGACAAGGGTTTTGTTTGTTTTTAATATTTTATTTATTATTATTTTTATTTTATGTGTATGGGTGTATTGCCTGCATGGATGTGAGTGCACCTGTGTTGTGCAATGCCACAGAGGTCAGAAGAGGGCTTCGGATTCTCCTGAAACTGGAGTTAAGGATGGTTCGCAGCCACCATGTGGGTGCTGAGAATCAAACCCAGGTCCTCTGCAAGAGCAGTCAGTGCTCTTAACTGCTGGGCCATCTTTCCAGCCCCGAGACAAGGTATTTTTTTTCCTTTTAAGTTTAAAAATTATTGGGGCTGGAGCGATGGCTCAGAAGTTAAGAATACTGGCTATTCTGGCAGAAGACCCAAGTTCAAATCCCAGCACCCACATGGCAACTAACAATTGTCTGTAACTCCAGTTCCAGGGGATCCAACAGCCTCTTCTGTCCTTTGTGGGCATTGCACGACACAGGTGCACTTACATACATGCAGGAAATACATGCATACACATAAAATAAAAATAATATTTTTTAAAAGCTAAAAAAAAAAGTAAAAATTATAAGGCCAGGTGTGGTGGTACACACCTGTAATCCCAGCACTTGGAAGGCAGAGGCAGGCAGATCTCTATGAGTTCAAGGCCAGCCTGGTCTACATAGCTGAGGCTACAGGGAGACCCTGTTTCAAAAAGACCAAAAAAAATTATTGCATTTATTTATTTGTGTGTATATGTGTGGGTACATGTGTTCCATAACATGTATGTGGAGCTCAGAGGAAAACTTGTGAGTCAGTTCTCTTCTACTATGTGGGTTCCAGGGAATTGAACTCAGGTCATCAGGCTTGACAGCAAGCACTTTTACCTGCTAAACCATCTCCCCTGCCTGAGACAGGGTCATGTAGCTCAGACTAGCCTTGAACTCCTGATCCTTTTTTCTCAGCCTCTCAAATGTAAAAATTATAGGCATGAGGCACTACACTAACCTCAATCTCCCTCGACCCCCACCCTCCACCTTTTGTTTTTGAGACAGGTTTCCCTGTAGCCCCAGCTGCCTCACTATGTAGACAGGCTGGCCTTGAACTCAGAAATCTGCCTGCCTCTGCCTCTAAAGTGCTGGGATTAAAGGCGTGCCCCCACCACACCTGGCCTCCCCCTCCCCCCTTTTAAATTGCTTGATTTTAGTTTTTTTGAAACAAGGTCTCATTCTAATGTCACCCAACCTTGTCCTGGAACTTACCACAATTTGCCTGTCTTAGCCTCCTGAGTATTGGGGTTACAGGCATGAAACCACCATGTCTGGCTTTGTTTTATTTTGGTTTTTGTTGTTGTTTTGTTTGTTTATTTTTTGAGACAGGGTCTCCCTGTAGTCTCAACTGGCCTGGAACTTGCTATGTAGATCAGGCTGGCTTCTGCGTCCTGAGTGCTAGAATCAAAGGCTTGTGACACCATGCCTGGTTTTGTTTTTGTTTTTTGAGTCAAGTCAGGCTCTCAGGTAGCCCAAGCTGCCTTTGAATTTGCTGTGTAGTGCGAGGATGACCTTGAACTTCTGGTCCTCCTGCTCTCAGCTCCCAAGTGCTGAGATTACAGGTATGCAGCACCAGGTTTGGTGCTGGGGAGGGACTCAGGACATCCCTGAGCACAAGCTCTAGCACTGAGCCACAGTCTCCCATTGTAGGCAGTTGAGGTATCTGCGGACAAGGCAAGCCTCTGGCTTCTCAACAAACAGGGGCCTAAAATGGAGACTAATGGGAGAACTTCAGCCAGGGTAGAGGGGATCTTTGTTATGAGAGCCAACCAGAAGACCCTGGGGAATACTACTGTAGGCAATGAGATTTGACAGTACAAAGGCCCTGAGGTACATGGGGGTTTGGAATGGTAAAACAACAACAACAACAACAACAACAAAAGAAGTAGGGGCTGAAGAGATGGCCTAGTGGTTAAGAGCATTGGCTGCTCTTGCAGAAGACCCAGATTTGGTTCCCAGCACCCACATGGTAGTAACAACTGTCTGTAACCCCAGTTCAGGGAATCTGACACCCTTGTTTGGTCTCCATGGGCACTGCATGCATGGGTGCACTTACTTATATACATGTAGGCAAATCACTCATATACATAAATTAGAAATAAAGCAAAAAAATGAAAGAAAACAAAACAAAACAGGAAGGTCATGGTGACCTAGGTGGGAATGGGTAAGCAAGGTCTTTTGGGAGTGGTTAGGGGCCAGTTCAGACTGCATCCAGTGGGCTTTGTTTTTAGCATGAATGTGTAAAATGGACAGGTAGCAGTTTGGCCTTAGAATGTGGCTTACTTTGTTGAGTGCTAGACCTAAAATTCCTGAAACTGGCTCTGCGGTATCCTAGGTTTGGGGCTAGGCCACTTTGGAAATATGTATAAACAGGAGATAGGGATCTTTAATATTTTCTTTTTCTTTTGTTTTCCTTTTTTATTTTATTTAATTAATTTATTTATTTATTATGAGACAGGGTCTCTCTGTAGCTCCAGCTGGTCTGGAACTTGCTATGTAGACCAGGTTGGCCTCCATCCCATAGATATCTGTCTGTCTTTGCCTCCCAAGGGCTGGGATTAAAGGGATGCACCACTATGACCAGCCAAATTTTTCTTTTTTAAAAAAATTTTTTGCAGGCATGGTGGTGCACACATTTAATGCCAGCCCTCAGGAGGGAGAGGCAGGTGGATCTCTGTGAGTTCAAGGCCAAGGCCAGACTGCTCTAAATAGCAAGTTCCAGGACAGTTGGGGCTACAGGAAGACTCTCAAAAAGATAAAAAAAAAAAGCCCACCAAAAACCACAACAAAAACTTAAAAATAAAGCAAAATAATCAGGGCTGGCAGAGAGAGAGAGAAAGCACGCGTGCACACGCGTGCGAGAGAGAGAGAGAGAGAGAGAGAGAGAGAGAGAGAGAGAGATAGAGAGCTGGAGTGATGGCTCAGCAGTTAAGAACACTTGCTGCTCTTACAGAGGACCCAGGTTCAGGACTCAGCATCCATATGGTGGCTCATAACTGCCTGTAACTCCAGTTTCAGGAGATCCAGTACCCTCTCCTGGCTTCTGTGGGCACTGTAAGCACATAATAAACATATAGATGCAGGCAAAACATTCACATACATAAAAATAAAATAAAATAATAAACTAATCTGGCTGGGGATATAGCTCAGTGGTAGACTGCTTGGCATATATGAGGCCTCGAGTTTGATCCCTGACACCACTAAAAAAATGAATAAAAAAATAAACAAATGGGTAAATAATGAATGCCTCAGCTGCATGATCCACATTTCAAGTGTTCAGGAGCCACAAGTAGTGACCACAAGCAGTGACCAAACTGGACAGTTAGGGATATAGAACAATCCCATCATTGTACAAGCTGCTCCAGAGGATTCCATTATGTGAACTGGCCAAACATCAGTCATCTCTGAACTGTCTTCAGGGGTTGCATGGAGAGGCCCACATCCACATCAGTTGTGTTGTGGGGAGCCCTCTTTTATCCCTGCAGTGGGTTCCCCAGCAACTATCACATAACCAGGATCTGAGCACTGACCCTTTCTATTTGTTTGCTTGTTTATTAGTGCCAGGGGATGAAACCTGGACCTCAGGCTTGCCAAGCAAGCATTAGACTTTTGACTATATTCTCAGCCCCCTTTTAAAAAATATGGGGAGCTTGAGAGATGGCTCAGCAGTTAAGAGCACTGGCTGTTTTTGCAAAGGACCCAGGTTGGGTTTCCAGTACCTACATGGCAGCTAACAATCATCCATGACTCCAGTTTTAGGAAATCCAGTGCCCTCATTTGGCCTCTTCGGGCATTGCACAACATGGGTTCTTAGAACATGCAGACAAAATACTCATCCACATAAAATAAAATAAATAAAATTTAAAATGTGGAATACTTCATGAATTTGAGGGTCATCTTGGACAGGGGCCATACTAATAACCCCTATGAATTGTTCCAATTTTAGTATATGTGCTGCCAAAGTGAGTACCCTAGCCCCTATTTTTAAGTTTTTAAAAAATTTATTTTGAGGGCTGGAAAAATGGCTTAGTGGTTAAGAGCAGTCACTGCTCTTCCAGAAGACCCAAGTTTGGTTCCTAGCACCCATGTCAGGGTGTTCACAGCTGCCTGTAAATCCAGTTCCAGGGGATAAGATACCCTCTTCTGGTTTCTGTGGCCACCTGCACACACATGGTATACACACTCACACAGATACACACATATATATGTAAATAAAAAATGAAAATAAAACTTGGAACTGGAGAGATGGCTCCTTGTGTCTTCTGTGGGCACTGCAGAACACAGGTGCACTTAACACATATGCAGGCATAACACTCATACACATAAAATAAAAACGGATAAAAAAAATCACAAGAGTTTTTTTAAAAAATAAAATCTTAAAAAAATGTGCTGAGTGTAATGGTGTACGCCTTGAATCCCAGCACTTGGGAGGCAGAGGCAGGTGGATCTTTGTGAGTTCAAGGCCAGCCTGGTCTACATAATGAGTTCCAGGACAGCTGGGACTACAGGGAGACCCTGTCTCAAAAACACCAAAAAAAAAAAAAAAAAAAAAAAGTATTGGGGCCGGGGGTGGTGGCACATGCCTATAATCCTAGCTCTTGGGAGGCAGAAGCTGGTGGATCACTGTGAGTCTGAGTCAGCCTGGTCTACATAGGGAGTTCCAGGCCAGCTGGGGCTACAGGGAGACCCCATCTCAAAAAGACCAAAAAAAAAAAAAAAATTTAGCATGGCCAAGTGTGGTGGTGCATGCCTTTAATCCCAGCACTTGGGAGGCAGAGGCAGGCCGAGGTAGGCAGATCTCTGTGAGTTCAAGGCCAGCCTGGTCCACATAGTGAGTTCCAGGCCAGGTAGGAGTACAGGGAGACTTGGCTCAAAAAAAAAAAAATCATGAGTGTGTGTGTATGTGTATGTGTGTGTGTGTGTGTGTGTGCACTTGCCACAGCAAGTGTTTAGAAGTCAAAGGACAACTTTATGGAGTTGGTTTTCTCCTACTTTTATGTAGGTTCAAAGAATCAAATTCAGGTTGTTAGGCTTTCATGCCTCACACTGTTACCCACTAAGCCAACTTGCTGGCCCTTTAAGCCTCTATTTGAAATTTTTTGTTTTGCTTTTTTTGTGTGTGTGTAGTCTTTTTGAGACAGGGTCTCCCTGTAGCCCCAGCTGGCCAGGAACTGGCTATGTAGACCAGGCTGACCTTGAACTCACTGAGATCCACCTGCCTCTGCCTCCCAAGTGCTGGGACTAAAGGCGTGCGCCACAACACTGGGCTATTTGCTTTTTTGTTGTTGTTGTTAAGGTCTCATGTACCTCACTCAGGCTAGCTCCCAGCTTGCCAAGTAGCTGTGGCTGGCCTAAAATTCTTGATTCTCTTGCTTCTACCTCAAGTGCTAGGATTACAGCCATACACTACCATGCTTGGCTTCTATGCCCTGTTTTGAAGGCTCTAAAGCCTTGCTACCCATTATGAATCTGGCTGTCCTGGTCCTGCCAGCTGAGCCTCCTCTCTTGCTTCCCAGGAGGGAAGACTTGGACCTTTGATTTCCTAGGAACCTTAACTCTTGAAGGACAGGCCCTGCCCAAAAGATCTCCCTGGCAGGAGCCTCATTTTCCTTCTTGCCGGGTCATTTGAAAAGCCTCAGAGTGGCCTGCTGTGCACTGAGCCTAAACTCACAAAGGTGGGTTCCATGAGACCCCTGCTTTGGGTGAAAATAGACATCAATGGTTTATTGCAGCGGTGCACAGAGGTGGAATGCCTAGGTTATGCTGTGAAGTCAGGAAAGGTGTGCTTCTTGGGGGGAGGGAACAACTGAGCCAAGCCCTGAAGTGTATAAGGGTAGACAGGAGGTTCCAGAACTACATGGAGCTCAAGCCATAGGCCTCAGAGACTGGTGGTAAGGTCACTAGGACCAGGTCAGGCTGGTCCCAGAGCACCAGTCCAAGAACAATGTAGCCTGGCACTAGGGGACCTGGAAAGAGCTGGTACTGTGGAATGCGAACAGGGATGGAGCTGGAAAGGATATGGGGAAAGATGGTTGGATTCAGCTGTTGGTGATTTCACGCCCCATCCTCAGCCACTTCTTGGGGACAAACTCCAGCCGTGGACCCCAGGTGCTGATGAAGGTCAGATTTCAGTAGTAAGAGAATAAAAAGATTTCCTGTGGAGGAGAGAGCTGCAGCTGCCTCAAACACATACTCCCAGATTAGGCCAAATCCCACAGCAGGTGAAGAGGGGGCTCCCACTTAGGACCCCCAGGAGTGTGGGAAGTAGTGGGCAATGGGGAACTGAGTGTATACAAGCTTTCCCATATACACCTGACTATGCCTGGACCTGCAAGTGAGTCATCTTTGTTTCTTCCTTCACAACACTTCACTGTGCCCTAGTTCTGCCATGTGTGCCTTGGGTTTGGGGTAGAGCAAGAATGGTAACAGCTAAACAAGATCAAGGGCTATGCAAGCATGTGATGGGGGTGTGGGGGTTTGCAAGAAGACTCAGAAGATGGGATGAGTGAGGATGGAAGGGGGTTGCTTCTTATTGAAAATTTGGGGTACCGTCAGTCAAACATAGAGCCTTGCATAGGCTGAGCAACTGTTCCACCACTCCATTCCCAGCCTTTGGCTGTTTTTCTGTGCACATGTGCTTGTGGAGGCCAGAGGCGTCCTGCTCTATTCCCTCTCCTTATTCCCTTTAGACAAGGTCTCTCACTGAATCTGGAGCTAGAATGGCAGCCAGCAAGTCTAAGTGACCCTTGCCACAGTGCTGGGATTAGAGGTAAGCATCACCATGCTAGGGCTAGGCATTGCTGGGGATGGAACTCAGGACTTCAGCATAGTAGGCAAGCATTCTACCAACTGAGATATACCCTTAACCTAGGGAAAACTAGGTTTTTGGTCTTTTTGAGACAGGGTCTCTCTGTAGCCACAGCTGGCCTAGAACTCACTATGGAGACCAAACTGGCCTTATTCTCACAGAGATCCACCTGCCTCTGCCTCCCAAGTGGGGAATCCCCTCTTTATAGCAATGAGAGTCCCTAAGTGAGGGGAACTCAGCTTTAGGCTCAGCAGCAGTAGAAAGAGGACATGGGAGGCTACTTGAGAATTGAAATCTGAGTAAGCTTTTTTTTCCCCTTTGAGACCATGTCTCATGTAGCTTGGGCTGACCATATGGTATGTCGGTGAGGATGACTTTGAACTTCTGATCCTTCTGCTTCTACCTCCTGGGTGCTTCCTCTTCTTGATTACAGGTATGTGCTACAACACCTGGTTGATGTGGTGCTGGGGATCCAACCCAAGGCTTCATGAATGTTAGGCAAGCACTTTACCAAGTGAGCTACATCCCCAGCCCTTGTGTGAGCTCTTAAAAAAGTGGCTAGGGCTTGACCAGGTAAAAGGTGGGAGAAGTGTCCCCTGGGAGGAAAAGCCCATGAGAAGGGTCTTATGTGGCAGACACTGGGTTAAAGGACCACAGTCAAAGCATTGAGCTGGGTTTCATATGTGCTTCCGCATAGCAATGTCCATTCACATCCAGCTAACAGTCTTTGTTTTGTGCCTCCCCGAAGCCTCCTGGGTCCTTGGAAATGCTGGGCCACCTACAGAGTGAGAATGAGGTGGGCTTCCTGTAGTTGGGAACAGGGTACCTTGCCTAACTGCCCAGTTTCCTATTTTTCCCTATGTGACCTGGGCCAGTTACTTCCTCCTTCTGAGCCTGTGTCCTCTTTGAAATGCTGAGGAGAATGCCTTCGTGGAAGGGCCACCATGAGAAGGGAATGAACTTGCCACTCTGCAGCACAGCACCCTGCCTGGCAGGCCCTGTCCTAATCTCCATGCAGTAACAGCTGTTGTTTATTCAGCACTCCAGCACTGTTTGGCAGGTGTCATCATTCATTCCTGCATTACAGGCAGGAAAACAGAGGCTCAGAGAGGGTAAGTGCCATGGTACTATCCCTCCCGCCGGGTGCATGAGCCGACCCTTCCTCCCAGCTGCCCATTTCATTGCTGTCAGCTTCCTGTCCCTGGGCTGGAGCTTCCCAGATCAGAGCGTTGTCTATCTGTCACTCTCACTAGAGCTGCCAGTGGCATTCTGGAGATAGGCCTGGAGCTTTTCACAGGCTTGAAAGCTGCTCAGAACCTGGGCAGACCAAGGGGGCCAGGCCCCAGCTGCTGCTATGCTGCCCAGAGCCAGCTGGGGAGGGCAGGCAAGATGGAGCAGTAAAGCTTGCACAGGGGAATTAGCAGCATCTGTCTGCTGACATGGGACGTCAGGAATGTGAAACAGCCCTAACAACTGTGTGCTTGCCAGGGACACTGGCAGGGAGGGGGCACAGGGCGGGCAGCTGAGTCCCTCCTGGCTCCTAGAAATTACCAGGCAGCAGCTGTCCCTATCACTCTGAGCAAGGGCGTCAGTCCAACTCCTTTATGGAACCCCATATTTTTGTTTTGTTTTTACAATGCTGATAATCAAACCCAAGGTCTTTTTGTTAGTTTCTTGTTTTGTTTTTGGTTCTGAGACAAGGTCTTACTATGCAGCCCTGGTTAGCTTGGAAGTCACTATATAGAGCATGCTGGCCTCAAACTGGATTGCAGGCATGTGTCACCATGCCTGATTTTGCTTGTTCTTAGTGGGTTTTTTTTTTTTGTTGTTGTTGTTGTTGTTGTTTTGCTGTTTTTTGTTTGTTTTTTTAGTCAGGGTCTCACACTGCAGCTCAGGTACTAACTATAATATCCCAGGCTGGATGCAGATTTGAGAGCTTGCCTTAGCCTCCTGAGTGTGGGGATTAGGCATGAGTCACCACACCTGGTTTGTTTTTCTTTTTTCTTTTA